AGTTGTCAAATCTAGACTTATAGTGATTCTGGTTTTGACCTGACCTTTGTTGTATTCCGGAGTCGGGTTTCGTGGTTTAACATTGTTATTCATGTCTTTTTCTCTCTTTTCCCCTTTGAGTTTGAATATTGGAGTGTCTTGGGCATGTTTGGAACATGTTGGTTACTAGTTGGTCAAATTGTTGTTGTCCAGAAATTCGCTTCTTCACTCGAGCAAGCTTTGTGAGCTCCTAGTACTTTTGTAGGCCTGTAGAGATACTAAGAGGGTAGTGTTCTTCGCTCGAGCAAGGCTTCCTACGCTCGAGCGACGGTATATGTCTGTAAAACTTTTGGGAGTATGTATTTTGCGCTCGAGCAACGCTTCTTGTCTCGTTCGAGTGAGGCCACTTATTGCGTTTGGTCGCTCAAGCGACAACTCTTGCGCTTAAGCGAGCCTCGAGTATATCAATTCGTAGTAGTTCCTTTTCACATCACTTTTGATATCTTTTCACTCAAAAACCCTAGACTAGCTCTTTCTTTCTCTCTCTCTCTGAAATTTGACTTTTCTCTACAAATCCACTAGGATCTAAGGGTTTCTCTACCCTACTCCCTTTGATAAAAAGGTGAAGCATCTCAAGGGCTACCATTACATCCGAATAGAGTTTTGGTTCGACATTTTTGAAGTTTCTCCACTTCTTCTTTGGGCTTCTACACTTGAGGTAGGAATTTTCAACACTTTCATATGGTTTTTAACTTAGTTATTTGGTTATTGTGTAACAATGGTGGCTTTGGGTGTATTATGAACAAACCTAGGGTTTGGGTGTGAAATAAAAATCCTAAACCTTGCGTACACAACAAATCAAAATAATTAAAGTCAATCTATCATCTTCATATAAATACAATATCAAACGAACATCAAATAAATAAATAATAACAACAAAATAAACATAAACCAAGGAAAGTGGGTTTTGCACTCACAATATTTTTTTGAAGATTAAAGAATCACTTGAACAATTAATGAAGCCACCAAAATAAAACCCTCATCTTTTTTTTTCTTCTTTCCTTTTCTCTCTCCCGCTGTCCCTCTCTCTGTTTTGATTAATCTCTCTCAAACCTAGGGTTTGGGTGTGAAATAAAAATCCTAAACCTTGCGTACACAACAAATCAAAATAATTAAAGTCAATCTATCATCTTCATATAAATACAATATCAAACGAACATCAAATAAATAAATAATAACAACAAAATAAATATAAACCAAGGAAAGTGGGTTTTGCACTCACAATATTTTTTTGAAGATCAAAGAATCACTTGAACAATTAATGAAGCCACCAAAATAAAACCCTCATCTTTTTTTTTTCTTCTTTCCTCTTCTCTCTCCCGCTGTCCCTCTCTCTGTTTTGATTAATCTCTCTTTCTCTTTGTCTCTCTCTCTCGCTTTCGGCTGCGCTAGTGCTACTACCATAAATTATATAGGCAACTTAGAGGGTTCCTATATATATATATATATATATCTAAACAAAAAGGTTATAAATTATTATTATACAAATACAACACAAATACAACATATATAAATATAAATATGATATATATTTTATCAATGTATAAACACTTTTCTTTATAAACAATATACATTTATCAATATTCGGATTAATTACATATAATTAAATAACACATTAAATTAATTAAATACCACATTAAATTCTCATGTATCCCCACAGTTAATAAAGTAAAAAATAAAATAAAGTAATAATAATAATAAATAATGTCTTAAGAAAAAAAAACAGGGTCGCTACAATTCCAATATCCAACTAATAGTGATGAAACAACTATGACAACATGTCATTTCATGAAAGCAGATAATTCATCACATACCTTCTTCAGATGCCACGAAAAAAATGAAACAAACTTGCTTCAACCATAGTTAAACCTAACACAAAGTTGTCAAAGCTTAAAAAAACATTGCAAATGGAACCATTAACAACAGGAAAATGAAAACAAAAAATAAAATGTTTCTCAAACTAATTGTTATAATTAAAGTGATTTATTATTGAACAAAATCAATCAAACAATAGTGTTCCAGAAACTAAAGCAACAAAATCACAGAATTACAGCTCACAGAACAAAATGATCAACTTACCAATCCAATCCATACATACAAATTTATATCAAACAGAGTTACTTACAACTTATAGCTTACAGATTTATACACATACAGAATTACAACTTACAACTTACAACTCACAGCTCACAGATTTACAACTTTATAAACACGCATACAGCTTTATGTGTATATATATATCAAATAGAAAGAGATCTGGAAACAAAACATACCTAGAGGATCTGAGATCACACAGTGAGAAACAGAGCAAAACTCAGAGAAGAATCGAGCGAATATGTACAGATATATACACACATACAGAGCACACACAAATATCCTTTATTTAAAATAAGATTTGTACACACAAAAAAAAAAGATAAATAAATAATCAAGAGCTAGGGTTTTACCAAACAGATATGAAAGATTTAGAGAATAGCAGAAATCGGTGAGTTGAAAATGGTGAAAATGAGAGGCAAATCGAACAGTTGATAGAAGAGAGAGGCAAATCATACCAGAGAGAGTCGATTGGGGGGTGAAAATTAGAATGAAATTTGGTTCGTTTTCGTACGCGTACATCGGTTTGAGAGAGGGAGAGCCGATGAAGGAGAAGGAAGACGTCGGTGAGGGAGAAGGGAGACGTCGGTGAGAGAGGAGGGAGGTCGGCGGTGAGGGAAGAGCAAGCGAGCGGTGAAGGTGAGGGAGCAGTAGCTAGAGAGAGGCGATGTGTTTGTATTTGTGTGAGTATGAGTATGAACCTAACAATAGAGACACAAACATATATATAGAGAGGGTTATAATAACAATTTGGGCAAACTTCACTTTACCCCCCTATGATATAGGCCATTTGCGAATCACCCTCCTAACGTTCGAATATCACCACTTAACCCCCCTGTGGTTGATGGAGTGAAGTGCACAGTTAGTTTTTCCATCTATTCTAATAGGTTGTGCAATACATGTGAGGGCTGTGCAATTGGTCATGGCAAGATGATTTTTCTTTCGAATTAAATGACTAAAATGCCCTCATCTTCATCACCAATTTCCAAAGCAGCCTTTCTTCTTCATTTTTCAAAACCCAGATCTGGAAATCTCTACCCGGAAGAAGAAGAAGAAGAAAAAAGAGTAAAATTACAAACTCCCACCGATAACTCCATAATCAAACCACTCCCAATGAAAGTAATCAATTGCAAATGTTTAACAAACAAATGTTTAAGTTTGATCAAATCAATTGGTGTTAAATTATGACAAGTAAATAAAAAGGAAAACAAAATATATAACCTGTAACATACATGTTTGGTGTTAAATTTGAATCACCAACTCTAACATACATGCATATATATATATATATATAAACTTGCAAATTGTATCACAAACATATATATGCACAGTGAATAATATATATATATATATAATTTGTATATATATGTATATTTATAACCTGTAAATGTGTGTATATATATATATATATATTATCCAATCATTCAATATTCTACAAATCAATTGAAAATCTAAATACTAAATTCCTAAAATTATTCACAGTGATGGGTATCTCTATTCTTTCTCGTCCAAGACATTGTCATTTTGATCATTTTCTCACACTTCGTATATCACCTCTAATGGTGCTCGCACATCCCATTCGACGAACGATTCGGCGTAAAACGGGTTCGGATCCAAACCCATTTCTATTTTGAACTTAGAATTTGATTCGATCAAGACCCATTTGTGATCTTCGACTGCCGAATCATGATGATAATGGTTTTGTTCTGGTTCGATGGAATTGAATTCCTTTTCGACCTTTTGAATCGCTCCTAATATGATAAGTGTGAGTAGAGGTAGATGAATGGTAGGGTTGTAATTTTAGAGAGAGAAGGAGAAAGAACATGGCATGTCTTTGTTGTTTAAATTAATTTGTTAAGTCAAAACCCTAATTTCATATTTCAAAACCCTGAGTTCTCTCTCTTGTTCTTCTCAAATGCACAATTGTTGAAGAAGAAATGTTAAACAAAAGTTATATATACAAGGGCAAAATAGTCTTTTTACTTCTGATGTAAACGGTGTTAACTGTGCACTTCATTTCGTTAACCACAGGGGAGTTATGTGGTGATATTCGAATGTCGGGGGGTGATCCGTACATGGCCTATACCATAAGGGGGTAAAGTGAAGTTTGCCCTAATAATTTTACTTTGAGGAAACGGGAACGGGGCTGGGACTGGGGCCGGGGCTGGGAAACATATCACCGTCCTCGCCTTGAAAATTATCGGGGATTCATTTTCGAATGCCATCCCCAACCCGTCGGGAGTATTTTTCGGGAGAAAATCGCTCTAATCAGGGTCGGGGGTGGGTCCCCGTCGGGTCGGGTTTAAATTGCCATCCCTAAAGGCAGGTTCATAGAACTAGCCTTTAAATCCTCAAAATGGCATGGGTTGTTTTTGAAAGATAGTTAAAAGTTGATTTTTTTAATTTTTTTTGATTTTTTTTTTAAAAAAATGTATAAAAAATGTAAGAAATGATGTGATAAAAAATGAGTTAAAAGTTGACTTTTGACTACCAACTCACTTTCCAAAAGAGCCCATAGGGTTGGTTTGGGAATTTGGCTATTGTAATTGATTTTTTGACTTTTTAACTAACTTAATCTAATTAATTTTTTTAAATTCTTTTTCTATAATTAATTTTATAATTATCAAAGAAAAAATAAAATAATTATAATTTAAATATGAAATCTTATTTTATTAATTATTTTTTTTAAAAAAACCTTCAAACCAATTTATCCCATCCTAATTCAGAATTCACTATCAATTTTCTTTCCATCTCTCAAAATAAATACAATATTAATGATCCTACTTTACTACCAATTTCAATTTCCTTTCTAACTCTCCAAACAAAAGGTGCATAACAGTAAACCAAATTTATAACATCCAGACCAGCAAAGCAAACAAGCAAGCAGTCTCTTTTACGGGTCGATGGAGGGTCCGATTTCCAAAATACAGCACTCAAGCCCTCTCTCAACTACTTATTTCATTTCCCACTTCGCACGCAAATCTCACATCTCTCTCACCACTTCTTCTTCAATGGCGGTTTCTTCGAAGAAGAAGACCAATCCCTAACATCTCCCCAAAACCCTTGGCCTTCCCTCTCTGTAACCTTCAATGGCTAAACTCCAACTAACCACTCGCACAGTTCTCGAACCACTCGCAGACATCAATCCCTCTTCTCTCTCTTCCTCCATTCGATCCCTCGCTTTCTCCACCCTCTCCGATTCCCAAACCCTAATCTTCGCCGGCACCGATTCCGGAACCCTTCTCTTGCTCTCCCTAGACCCTAATTCACCTCCCAATTCAAATACCCAAAATTCGAATCAATTCAACAACAACAATAACAATTCTGTGCCTGCAAAAAGTGTTTCTTTTCTGCGATACACTTCGGTGAGCGTGTCATCGGTGGATTATGTGCATATAATTGATCATGTTGGGCAGGTTTTGGTGCTTTCAGGTGGGTTTTTGTTTCTTGTTGATTTGCTTTTGCGTCAACCAGTTAGGAAGTTGGGGGTTTTCAAAGGGGTTAGTGTAGTTGCCAGGAGAGTTCGGAGCGGTGTTTCGGAGAGTACTGATTTGGTGGGGGGAGATAGTAGTGGTGCTAGTTCGTCGGAGTTTTCGAGAACGGGCCTAAGGTTGTTACAGAAACTTGGTGGTGCTAGTGGGATTAGATCGAATGGCTTGAAAGTAAAAGAATCAGAGCTTCATAGGGATGGTAATTGTGTTTTCGCCATTGTGACCGGTAGGAGATTGGTGTTGGTGGAGCTTAGAATTGGGAGGAGTGACAGTCATGGTGACGATGGTGGTGATGGTGGGTCTTTTCTAATTTTGAAAGAAATTCAATGTGTTGATGGGGTTAAAACCATGGTGTGGCTTGATGATTCAATAATCGTTGGTAGTTTAAGTGGGTACTTTTTGTATTCTTGTGTTACCGGGCTAGGTGGCTTGATATTTTCACTTCCCGATCCAGCTGGTCCGCGACTCAAATTGTTGCTGAAAGAATACAAGGTGTTGTTGTTGGTGGACAATGTGGGGGTCATTGTTAATGCACAAGGGCAACCGGTTGGTGGAAGTTTGATATTCCGTCGTGCTCCAGATTCTGTTGGGGAGATAGCCTCATGTGTAGCTGTTGTGAGGAATGGGAAGATGGAGTTGTATCATAAAAGATCGGGCAACTGTATTCAAATTGTTTCTTTTGCTGATGAAGAAGTTGGTTCATGTGTTGTAGCAGATGAAAATGGGGGTGGGCAACTTATTGTTGTAGCAACACCATCCAAGGTATGCAAGTAAACCATATTGATCTCTGGTAATAGTTGGCGTTAATTGTTTGTTAATAGTTGCTCTGGGCATTTGAATGGGCTAATTGAAGGTGTGGTTATGTATTGGTATATTATTGGATTTTCTTAGTAAATTGTTTTAAGTGGATGCTCATATGCATAGATGATCACAAAAGGAGTCCCAAGTTGTAGATGCCTCCTGTATTTTTCTTTGGCTTGAACCAATGAGAAGGGATGACAAATTTAAGGCGTGTTTGATTGACAGGAATCGAGTGTGGGACTGGGGATCCCATTCCCATTGCTGTTTATTCCATGTTTGCTGACTGTCATGTGTTCTTGGTGTGACAACTTTCATATAGTGGGAATCCGATTAATCTGGGGAGTGGTGGTGGGTGTTCTGATTCCCATTGTAATCAAAATTAAAAATATGAAAGGAAATTTGACAACCATATGCCTTAAGCCATTTAATGTTTAGAAAATAAGTTGATCATTGATAAAGGTAATTTTATTTTTAGTATTGTAATTTAAAAATTAAAATAAATTATTTATACCAGAGTTTTAGAAGGTGTTATTTGAGGCTTGCATTGAGGTTAGGCTATGGTAAAACATATCAAGGTTTTTATTTTCAAGCAACACTCCCAGAAGGCTTGTGCATCACATTTTGAGACATGCGTCTCAGTTGCTTCTGTCTTTTAAACATAAGCATATGAGGACTACACGTATGGATACCTTGTCTTGGGCTGTTGTTGAACTTTAGTCTAATACATGGTTTAAACATAAAAAGAGAACACTCTGAAGGTTCAAGTAAGAAACTCAATAATTGAAACTAAGAGCATCAATTTCACCTTCATTAAGGGAAAACTTCTTTCTTTGCAGCAAAAATATTGGACGCCTTGAGGAAAAAAGTGTTGACATTTCTTTATTTAATTTTAAATATCTTTTACTATTTTAAAGTATTTCATTTATTTACTAAATATAAAAATTAAAACTTTGAAAATACTTATGCCTTGAGGCTTATGCTTCGCCTCACAAGAGGTATACGACTTGTGTTATGCATTCACCTTAACCTTTAAATTTATTAATTTATACAAAATAAATCTAATTATCGTTTTTTATTTTATTTTATAATTTAAACAAAAAAAAGGTATAACAGTGAAAACAATATTCCAACTTTAAATTAAAGTTGTAACCTCAAGAACAATTAGCTGAAATTATTGTTGCAATATTTTTGAAAATAAGCGTATGGTTAAAGGTGTAAAATGAATGGGCTGCAAAGTATTTGTTGAAGCCCTGAGCTTATATATCCATTGGCATATATAAGTTATACACCTCTCCCCCCCCCAAAAAAAAAAAATTATGAGATACAAAAGGGAAAATATTTTCTCATAAAAAATACAAAGAAAGAATGATAATTACCCTCAAATGACCTACCAGTTTTTCTGGCGAATACAGCACATGGCGCACAAGGGCATAGGCGGCTCCCAAAGTTTCTTCTTTCGCTGCCTAGGGCGACCACTCCCCCAACAAGGCAAAAGAGTCACAACTAAAGGAGGCATTACCCATTCAACCCCAAATTAAATAATTCTGTTTTAGGATATATTGTTTTGAAAGTTTATTCTTTAATTGTTTTCTTTCTTTGTTGTATATAGTCAAACTAAATATCACAGTGACAGAGAACCCTTTTTTTTGTGACATTTTTGAATGTATCTAGACTAGCATGGGAATATTTGATTCCCAAACATTCCTAGGCATCTCTTACCCTGACATTGGATGTTGGTTGTCAAACTAGCATTCTTCATAACAAATGCATCCTTAGAATCTCACTATGGAGGGTTGCTCTGAGGTGGCTAGAGTGGGGTCTTCTGGGAAGATGGTAAGCACTAATTAGAGTTGAGGCGGTCTTAGAAGATGGGAGAGTGGCAGTAGAGACGGCTTTCGAACTTGCCAAAGGAAGTTGAGGGTTGATTGTGTATCTACATGCATGGAGGTGGTCTCCTTGTGTAGGATTGTAGAACCATGGGGGTCAGCTCAGTTTTGCACAAAGTCTTATGCTCAAACACATGTGGCTTGACTGCCTTGGTTCAACAATTTGATGGTTTCTCAACTATCAATTGTACCTCCGCTTAGACCTTGGGGGTTGGAGGAGTGTAGTGGGCAGGTATGCTATCATCAAAAGGTAATAAAAAGAAGCTATAACCATGGGGGTCAGCTCAGTTTTGCACAAAGTCTTACTCAAACACATGTGGCTTGACTGCCTTGGTTCAACAATTTGATGGTTTCTCAACTATCAATTGTACCTCCGCTTAGACCTTGGGGGTTGGAGGAGTGTAGTGGGCAGGTATGCTGTCATCAAAAGGTAATAAAAAGAAGCTATAATGGTTAGTATGATACGCCTAATGAGGTATCACATTTCTTGGTCAAGTCTGGCTATGTCTTCTTGTAGAGGCTCCTCTCTCTCTCTCTCTCTCTCTCTAAGATCGGTGAAGGTCAAGGTTTTAAAAAGCGGCCGCAACCGTTACGTAACGCCGTTACGTAACGGTTTTGGCGGTTACCGCCACCCGTTACGGCCGCTTTTGCAGAGTGATTGAGATTCACAGGTGACCATGACACCAACCTAGAGGGGCTTCTTAGGCCCTATTCCCAACCTAGGCAACATTGGTAGCATCGAGGTGCCTTTTGGATTCTGGAGACCTTTTCTCGGTGGAGATTGCTTAGCCAACCATGGCAAGACTGAGCAAATGTCATGAAAAGGGCACACTTGGCCGGAGAGTGAGTGTGTTAGTTCTCGGAGGACAAGAATAGGCAGAGAAACATTCATTTAGGAGGCTGTTCGATTGAGTTGAGGCAGCATTGTGCATGTCAATTATGAGTAGATACGGGAATCCTCAGCCAAGCCGAGGGAGTGCTTAAGCTTGGTTTGTCTATTGATGAGTGAGCTTTTCAATGGGATCATGTTTTCATGACGGGCTCAGTTCATTTCCTGTCCTAACCTCGGCATTTGTAAAGTTGTTCAAGGGCATTGTTACTCCATTGAAGTGGTGTTTGTTTTTGGTTGTATGTTTTTTCAGTGTAATGTTGTTTTAACTAATAATTGTTTATATATCAATGGATTTTATGTGTTTCAGCATGCGTAGTGGTATTTTTGGGTTATTGGGTTAAATCATCTGAATGAAAATTAGGGTTAAGTAAGAAGAGAAGAAGGAAGAAGAAGAGCAGAGAAATAAGTTTAGGGCTTTATCATCTACTCTGCACCTCAGAATGTATTTATATTAGTGCGATATGAGATTACAAAGCTTCCTTTGGCATAATATGAAAAACAAACAACTCTAACAATCTAGTTTAGATTAACTATACTTGCAGACCAGTTTATATGTTGGCTGTTTATCCTTGTGCCCTGTAAGTTCACAATACTGGTCTCTTGTACATAAAAAATGAGGCCTCGTGATAAATAAGTTCTGTTGGGTATTTCCTGCAGTTTTAGTTATTAGTATATTTAGTACTTAGGGTGGTAGAATGTTTGGAAAATCATACTGTTTTATGTTATTGCCAGGTTATTTGCTATGGGAAAGTACTGTCGGAAGAACAAATCAAAGACCTGTTGCGCAAGAAGAACTTTGAGGAAGCCATCTCCTTGGTGGAGGAGCTTCAAAGTGAAGGTGAAATGACAAAGGAAATGCTGTCCTTTGTTCATGCTCAAGTGGGTTTCCTCTTGCTGTTTGACTTGCATTTTGAGGAAGCAGTAAATCACTTCTTGCTGTCAGAAACTATGCAGCCTTCTGAAATATTCCCATTTATCATGCGAGACCCAAATCGGTGGTCATTGCTGGTATATACTACTTTTGCTTATTTCTATGGTCACGATATATACTATATTTGCTTGTGATATTGCTTCAACACAAGGCTGCTGATTGTGCTAGTTATTGATCAGAAAATTTGGCTGGAAAATTTTCTTTCTGACAAATTATTAGTAGCTAATACCAAACTAGGAATGGTTTTTATGCTATACTTTGTTTTTGTTTTTCTCTTTTGGTTCAGTTTCATGGTTTCTTTGGTGTTTTAAACTAGGAAATCGTGCATCACTTGCATAAACTAAAGGTTTCTTATGCTTTGTCACACTTAATTGCAGATAATGATTGATGCAGTGACCTGTGAACTAATGCTTCATAGAGATTTTTTTCCTCACTAGTTTTTAATTTGAGAGTTTCTTCGTAATTCTACATGTTGATTGGTGTTAAAAGTAAGTATTTTATTATGAGGTTTTGTTACTTGCTCTATTGTTGGTAGTTATTATTTGTGTTGGTCTAGGATTCTGGAAAAGTTTTATTTGCTGAAACTAAGTATTCTTATGAGTGTATTTTCTAAAAGTGTCTATTTAATTTGAGTTCTAACTTGAGCTGGGTTGTGAGTCTTTAATCCAGCCTGTTATTAACTTAAATAGTTTCTTCAAAATTTGAGTTCCATCTGGTCATAACTTTGCTTGTGCCCTTGATGTAAGATGAGGTTTAAATACAATGAATGCTTTGTCTTGGTTAATGAATGATTGCGGAAATTTTTGTTGATTTGAATGGGGATAGCAGTCATGATTCACGGTTATGGTTCATTTCTTTCCCTTTCTTTTTCTTTCTTTGTGAATTTCTTCTTCTACGGAACTTCTCAAAGCCCTTTTTATCACTAGAATCTAATCAAACACTTTGAATACTTTTGAACTTCCCTTTTTTTTATTTTTATTTTTACTGTCATTCAAACCAAAATATCTAGGTAATCTTGCATAAGGGAAGCTCTAATTTAATTCTTGTGGAGTTCATGTGATACAAAGTTCATTTCTTTCCCTTTCTTTTTCTTACTTTGTGAATTTCTTCTTCTACGGAACTTTTCAAAGCCCTTTTTATCACTAGAATCTAATCAAACACTTTGAATACTTTTGAACTTCCCTTTTTTTTATTTTTATTTTTACCGTCATTCAAACCAAAATATCTAGGTAATCTTGCATAAGGGAAGCTCTAATTTAATTCTTGTAGAGTTCATGTGATACAAACATTGTTAGATTTTGAACTTCCCTTTTTTTTATTTTTATTTTTACTGTCATTCAAACCAAAATATCTAGGTAATCTTGCATAAGGGAAGCTCGCACTTGCATGCTTGCTCACCATTTTCTTTATCTTTTTAAATGAAATTGAAAAGCTAATCGATGGGTTGATTTGATATCAAAAAATGGTTTCAGGGGCTCTTAACCCAACATAATGTGAACTTGTCCTTTATCTCTTAGATTTATTTTATCTCTAGTTGCTTGGTTTTGCTTGGAATATTGTTTTATACACTCTTGAAGAGTTTGGTCTTTTCTCAAAGTATGTAAGAAGGGAGGGCTTCCTTGAACTTTACTAAATTTGTGGGATAAGTAGTAGTGATAGCATTTAAGAAAGAGATGAGGAAATTGTATATCTTGGTACTTTTCATGTTGTGGAGTACTCCACTGTTACTTAACTTTGCATCTAAATATTTGATGACTGGTCTTATTTGGGGCAATTTGTTGTGAAATTACTTGATTTCAAAGTAGAACAGAAACAGGAAGATGCTATCTTAGCTGGATTTGGTATATGTACTGAGTGTAAGTTTTGGGGTGGTGCACATTGCAGTGCAAGTATGTTTTAATTACTTTCATCTAGTTTACTTCTGTTAATTATCTCCTCCCTTCCCCCTTCTTTCTGCTGTTTAGTTGTTGATAAACTCATATCAATGCTTTTGAACTTTGATTTAAAATTGATTAAGTTTTTATTTTCAGGTGCCACGGAACCGGTATTGGGGCTTGCACCCTCCTCCTTCTCCACTTGAAAATGTTGTTGATGATGGATTGATGGCCATCCAAAGAGCTATTTTTCTTAAAAAAGCAGGGGTGGAGACTGCAGTAGATGATGCTTTTCTTTTGAATCCACCAAATAGAGATGATTTACTGCAATCGGCAATAGAAAACATCATTAGGTGTATATTCTTCCTCTTGCTTTTTGTTCTTAAAGGGGCGTGGAATATAAGCCGTCTGGAAAAACCTAAAAGTTACCTTTAGATTGAGATTATGAATTTTTAGATTATAGGCTGAAAATGCTTTGAATAAGTTGTAAAAGTATATGGTGCAACTTTTGGATGACATTTGGAAAAGTTGACAGTGTTGGCAAATAATCCAAAAAGTAGCCTTTTAAATCATAAATACCGAAATGGCCATAGTTTTTTAAACCTAGCAATTTTTAAAGGAGTACGCCCATGATTATGAAAATATTGAGGAGCCTTTTGGTCCAACTTTCGAAAGCTTAAAAATTTAAGCTGGAAAAGCACTCCCAGGTAGCTTGGAAAAATCAAGCTTTTGTTTGTTAAAATTAAGTTCATTAAGCATATAAGTTGAATGCAATAAGTTATGCCAAACACCTTCCACCAAAGCTGTAATCCAAATAATTTTATTTAAAAGATTTGTCAAACGGCCTTGTAATACAGTCCCAGGTATTTAGCATATCACCAAAATGGCTTGCAAGTTTAACAGTTGTATATTACTGGTTCATGTTAAATTGTCTTTAAGTGGAGGTGGATTGTTGCTAAAGCTTTTCTTGACCTCCCCTTCTTTCACTACAGGTATTTACATGTTTCTCGGGAAAAAGATCTGACTCCTTTGGTGAAGGAAGGAGTTGACACTCTTCTGATGTACCTCTATAGAGCCCTAAATCATGTAGAAGATATGGAGAGGCTTGCATCTTCTGAGAACAGTTGTATAGTGGTATGTGACATCTTCCTTTTGCTTTGTACTTTTATTGACTTGTAACCCCTAAGTTTCTTATACTCTGCATAGTTTCCTATCCATACTTACGAGGAACCTGCAAAACGGACTCCAGCATTTTGAAGTGCTGGGTCACTTGATTGACCTGTGATCTCACACACAATATTTTTCAAACCCGGGATTATTGAGGAAGATGTGGAAGAGAGTGGTTCATCATCAGTAGCCAAACTCTTTGGGTCAGAGTCTTGAACTGTGATTCCATTTTCCCCTTAATATTATGAACAAAAGAACAGATAAAAAATGGAAAAATATTTGAAGTATTTTTAATTTATAGAAAAATCAATTGTTTGTGTCCTACAAGTTGCATTAAAAAACATAAGAATTAGTGTTGACTGAGAACACGCTGAGGAAATAAATTGCACTGATTTTGAGAATATCTATCTCTTTCTTTAGGGAAAATAAAAGGATCTTAATCAAGTTTGTGACTGTCTGATTGGGATAAGTTGCAGTGATAAGGAGAATAGTTTTCACTGCAAACATCTTTAGTGGATTTCAATAGTTGCAATGTGAATTATAGCCTCCTACTAGCCTCCTACTCTTTTCCGGGTTTGAAAATATTGTGTTGTGTTAGTTGTTGGGTTAGGTTCAAGTTTGTATGTAGGCCTCAAGACAATGCACTATGTGCAGTTGTTTGTAAACAGTGGAATGTTACATTCCAATGTATTTCAAAGCGGGAGGCCAGTCAGAAGCCTGCTTGAAGGATGACCATACAACTTCAATGGGCGGTGCAGGAGGAGTTAGAAACTTTGTTGAACGACTCCGGGAATTTGCGGACGCTTGCCTTCCTGTATGCAAGTAAAGGGATGAGCTCTAAGGCTCTTGCTATATGGCGTATCTTGTCAAGAAATTACTCATCTGGCCACTGGAAAGACCCTAAAGTGGAAATGGACTCACAGCAGTCCTTGAATAATCATATTTCCGGCAAGGAGATTGCTGCAATTGAGGCGTCAAAGATACTTGAGAAGTCATCTGATCAAGATTTAGTACTGCAACATATTGGTTGGGTATGCATAATTATTTTGATCAAGTTCTGTTGATAATTATAATGGTTAAAAGTTGCTGTGATTCATGAATCCAATGGCTGATAGGATGTTGGTTTCTCATGTTAGATTGCAGATGTTGACCAGGCACTTGCTGTTCGGGTATTAACATCAGAGAGAACTGATCAGCTTTCACCAGGCAGGCCTCATAATCTTAAAAGTTTTTGGTTGTTTTACTTTCCATTTTCATTGGCTGCTTTTATTTGTTTTGTGGTACTTTTTATGGTGCCCAATACTTGTTAAAGGTCTTCATATATATGTAAATATATTTTATGTGGTAATTCGCTCACAGAGTCTCCTGGCACAGTATTTTCATTTGTCTTTGCCATTCCATTCAGGCATCATTGGTGTTTGTATTATCCAATAAGAGGGAAAATAAAATGGGTTTACCATGAGATCACATTGCTGGTTTTGCATTAATTTTATTTTATTTTATTTTATTTTTTGCTTTATACAATCTGTGATTAGTTACTTTTCAAAAAGTGGAAGGAATGCAACAAGATCTGTCTATATATAATTAGATCTTAAATTTACTTGCAATACACCCATTTTTGTTGCGAATAAATGAAGTTTATTTATTGACAGAAGGAAAAAAAAAGTGTATATAAGAAAGATTCATAGTTGGTAGTTACTTTTCAATATTGTATGACTCCTTTGGTTTAAGAATAATTGTACTGAATGTGAGAAGATTTGGAACATAGCTGCAAGAGTTCATATCTAAATGCCTAAGTGCCTGAAAAAAGGATGCACAGGACAGGAGCAAATTTTTTATTTATTTAATAGTGTATATGGTTCGTCCTTTTTTTGGATTACGACTTTGTGTGTGTGTGTGTGTGTTCTGTTGCAAATATAATTTAGAATTTCTGCATGTGATTTATATTTCTTGAAATAGTCTACCTCTATCACTTAACCATTGGGACATGCTTAATAAATAGTTATAATGATGTGCATATGTTATTTTTACTTGGAAAATAATTTTCCTGTTTTGCTACCTTTATTTTTAATGTAAATTTTGTTACAGATGAAGTAATTTCTGCTATTGATCCGAAGAAGGTTGAAATTCTGCAAAGGTATGCTCCTCCTAAGTTATTGTATCTGCAACATTATTTCTGGAAAGTAATTCATAATAGCAAAGCCCATGCAGTTTTCTGTCATAATTCTGTTTTTATGACCTTCAGTCTTTTTTTTCTTCCATTTTTTGAGCTACTTGGATGGTTAAAATTCCAAACATAAGGGCTAGCATCTGTTATTGTCTGAGTTTGTTTAATGGGATAGTACCTTTTATCTTCTGTGTTTGTTTGATTTGTTACCGCAACTGCTAATGTAAACATGATATGAAAAGAATGGATGTTTTTGAACTTTTTATTATTTTTGTTTCTGAAAACTTGAAAAATGATAACATAAAAAATGAGAATTCACAAATGACAATTATATTATATTTACATGACTTATCTTTTGGTATTTGATTGATGCATATTTTGTGCGATCCCAATAAGTCTTTGCATTTTTGGTTGTTGTTAGGAATCAACTGTCTATTGTTATGACCGATTCAGAAGTTTTCTGTCCTGATCTTGATGGTTTTTGCCCAGTAACTACAGTTTCCTTGATTATCCCTCTCCCTCCAGTCGTGCACATTACTAGTATTTTGGTTTCATGATGCCATGCTTATTATTCCTAATCAGTTGTGACAATATCAAGTATTGACTGTAGTGTGCATCTAATTTTCAGATTTCTCGATAGTGAGAAGATTTGGAACATAGCTGCAAGAGTTCATATCTAAATGCCTAAGTGCCTGAAAAAAGGATGCACAGGACAGGAGCAAATTTTTTTTTATTTAATAGTGTATATGGTTCTTCCTTTTTTTGGATTACGACTTTGTGTGTGTGTGTGTGTGTGTGTGTGTGTGTGTGTGTTCTGTTGCAAATATAGTTTAGAATTTCTGCATGTGATTTATATTTCTTGAAATAGTCTACCTCTATCACTTAACCATTGGGACATGCTTAATAAATAGTTATAATGATGTGCATATGTTATTTTTACTTGGAAAATAATTTTCCTGTTTTGCTACCTTTATTTTTAATGTAAATTTTGTTACAGATGAAGTAATTTCTGCTATTGATCCGAAGAAGGTGGAAATTCTGCAAAGGTATGCTCCTCCTAAGTTATTGTATCTGCAACATTATTTCTGGAAAGTAATTCATAATAGCAAAGCCCATGCAGTTTTCTGTCATAATTCTGTTCTTATGACCTTCAGTCTTTTTTTTCTTCCATTTTTTGAGCTACTTGGATGGTTAAAATTCCAAACATAAGGGCTAGCATCTGTTATTGTCTGAGTTTGTTTAATGGGATAGTACCTTTTATCTTCTGTGTTTGTTTGATTTGTTACCGCAACTGCTAATGTAAACATGATATGAAAAGAATGGATGTTTTTGAACTTTTTATTATTTTTGTTTCTGAAAACTTGAAAAACGATAACTTAAAAAATGAATCAATGCCAATTAATTAATTAATTAATTTTTTTAGTTTTGTTTCTAGTCAGGGCTGCGGCCTTGTAGATCTTCCAAATTTCTGGTTGCAAGTATGAGTTAGTGGGTACATATGTAGATTACTCTAGGCTTGATTTTTGTATTGTTTGCATCAACTTTGATGCTTTTCTAATAAAGTTTGTTTATTTATCAAAAAGAAAAAAAATAAATATGTAGATTACTCTTTGATGTGTCACCTTGGAAACTATTTGTAAGTGTGGTAGGTAGAGTTGAGTGTGTTAGGTGAGAGTTGAGTGTGGTAGGTAGATGTAAGTGTGTTAGGTGAGAGTTGAGTGTGGTAGGTGAATATGTTTTTCTCTTCTATATATAGGAGAGTCATTGTATACAAAATATATATCAATCAATAATACATCAATTTTAACACTATTCATGAACTTTCCTGGTCAAAATGATCATTCTTAATGATTTTGGTATTTCTCAGTTCTGTTAACTGTTTTCCTGTTAGTATGGAGTAGACTTATTCGAGTCCCATCATTTTCTATTTGGCACATAAAGAAAAAAATATAGAGAGATTAAAGCACAAAAAAAGAATTTGAAAAGGAAAAAGTACAGAAAAGAGAGGAACTATGTTTCATTCTCTGATCTGTTATCTTTTTTCTTTTGCTCCTGTTCTATGTTTAAGCGACTTTTTTCTCATGCTATTTTGTTTAATATCCCAAACTTTGTTGATGCAGATATCTCCAGTGGTTGATTGAAGATCAAGATTCTGAAGACACTCAGTTCCACACAACATATGCGCTCTTGCTTGCTAAATCAGCATTTGAAACAGCTAGTACCTCTCAAAATTCTGAAGCAGGAAATCTAGAAGAGACAAACATGTCAATGTTTCAAAGTCATATTAGAGAAAGATTGCAGATCTTTTTACAGTCTTCAGAACTATATGATCCAGAAGAGGTCCTTGACTTGATTGAAGGGTCAGAGTTATGGTTGGAAAAGGTCCATTGAAACTTTTCTTCCCCCTTTGTCTCATAGATTGCTTTTTTGTATAATGAGTCGGTAGTCATGCCTGCAGCTCTATACAGATTCATTATTGCCATCATGCTCTTCTGTAAGGGCAAGCATAGATGCATTCACATTGCCATAAAGCTGGCTTTGCATACTTCTGAGTTCTGATATAATGTCCACATTTTTGTGACAGGCTATTCTTTACAAGAAACTTGGCCAGGAAACATTGGTGCTTCAAATCCTTGCGTTGTAAGTTTGCAATCACTTTGTCGAGTAATTGAATTTTAAATGAATAATGAAAGGCAGCAATAAGTTTTCCAACATTTAAGTTAAAAGCTTTTCATATTCTAGGAAATCACTTGCTTTAGTTATGATGCAGTCAAGCAAATAACCCATTTATACTTCAAGACAAGATTGGCACAAAGTGATTAAATAGAGGCATGTATATCGTGTTATTCTAAAAAATGTGGAGTTGCAATCCTTCAACACGAGATAAAGTTTAGGAACATAGCTCATGACTGTTTAATAAAAGATGATTTTCTGTGAAGAATGAGTTGTTGGTCATTTACATATTATTTCAACCATCTGTCAGGAAGCTGGAGGACAGTGAAGCTGCCGAACAATATTGTGCGGAGATTGGTCGGCCTGATGCCTATATGCAGTTGATTCTCTCTCTCTCTCTCTCTCTCCACACAGATGAATGTTAAATGTTAATGTTGTTTTGCCTGTTAATTCTGTTGTGGGTTGATCACCTTAGGTTGCTCGAAATGTATCTGGATCCAAAAGATGGTAAAGAGCCCATGTTTAAAGCTGCAGTTCGTCTGCTCCACAATCATGGAGAATCATTGGATCCTTTGCAAGTTCTAGAGGTCTCTCTCTCTCTCTCTCTCTCTCTGTGTGTGTGTGTGTGTGTGCACGTGTGCGCGCTCGCGCTTGTGTGTGCATGTGCGCGCTCGCGCTTGTGTGTGCATGTGCGCATTCACGCACACACTGACATGAGCACATAAACGTTGGTTCATCACTTGCTTCGAAGAATTAAATATTCTTTTTTGAAGCACTTTCTCTAATTGTTGACAATTATACGGCATGCCCGCCTTGGCATGTTGGGCGATGCCGTGGCTTGGCATGCCGGCCACGGCCGTGGCATGGCATGCCGGCCTTGGCATGCTGGGCAACGCTGTCCGGTTCATCCCGCATTGCCAGTTCTGCTTACCAAAAATGGCCCACTTGGAGCTCTCGATTCCGTGGCGCGGCTCAACGGAGCAGCCGCGCCGTCCTATCAAAGCCAAACCTAATGGCAATTACCCGAGGGACAGGATTGCTTGTCAAGGCCGTGGCATGCGATGTTCTTGGCCAAGGCCATGCCATGCCATGCTGCGGGACAAGGCCGCACTCGAATTGAGAGATGTGGGGAGAAGGGGATGATAATGGTCATGATTCTTAATTTTTATGATGACCTATATGCTAGACTACATAGTAAGGAGGGAGAGAAGATGATATACAAACTTGTTAAGATAAGAGAGAGGAAAACAAGAGACTTTAATTAGGTTAAGTGCATCAAGAGTGAGGATACTAAGGTGTTGGTGAAGGATGAAGAGATTAAGGAGAGATGGAAGAACTATTTTGAGAAATTGTTAAATGAGGAACATGGAGGTAGGATAAAAGGGGACGAAGTAGGCAGTAATAATGAAAACCAATACTCCATGTTCTATCATAGGATTCGGAATTTTAAAGTGGAGATTAAACTTAAGAAGATGAAATCGAATAAGATTTTATGACTCGATGATATCCCTATTGAAGTTTGGAAATGTTTGGGTAAGAAAGGGGTGGCCTAGTTGACTAGGTTATTTAGCAAAATTTTGTTGACTAGGAAAATGTTAGAGGAGTGGAAGAAGAATATCTTAGTGCTAATTTATAACAATAAATGAGATGTCCAGAACTGCAACAACTATAGAGGAATCAAGTGAATGTGTCATCTAATGGAAGTGTGGGAGAGAGTAATGGAACGTCAATTGCGAGATATAACAAAGGTTTCAGAGAATTAATTTGGGTTTCTATCTTTTGAGGAGTAATAGAAAAGTATAGAGAAAATAAAACAAAAGAGACATTAATATGGTTTTTATCGATATTGAGAAAGCATATAATAGAATGTCTTGGGATATAATTTGGTGGGTGTTAGATAAGAACGGGGTGACAAAAGGTTATATTGATGCGATTGGAGATATGTATGAAAGTGTAGTGACCATTATTAGATTGCCTGTTGGAGAGACAATTGAATTTCCAATTAGTGTAGGTTTACACCAAGGATCAATCTTAAGTCTTTATCTTTTTGGCTTTAGTTATGGATGAGTTGACCATAAATATTCAGGATGATGTGCCATGGTGTATGTTTTTTTGCATATGATATCGTGTTAGTGTATGAGACTAGAGAAGGAGTTAACACTAAGTTGAAGACTTGGAGAGAAGCACTTGAATCTAAATAATTTAGAATAAGCAAAACTAAGACAGAGTATATAGAGTGTAATTTTAGTAATAATGATAATGGAAGCAGAGGAAAAGTGAAGATTGAGGACCTAGCACTACGTAAGTGAACATTTTTGTTATTTAGGATCAATTATCACAACGGTTGGGGGGATTGGAGCGGATGTGGTCCATAGAATTAAGGCGGGGTGGCTTGAGTAGAAGAGCGTGTCTAGGGTACTGTGCGATAAACGAATACTCACTAGACTAAAAAGGAAGTTCTATAGAACGGCTATTAGACTAGCGATGTTGTATGGGATGGAATTTTGGGCGACTAAGAAACAATATTTAGATAAGATGAGTGTTGTTGAGATGAGGATGCTGAGGTGGATGTGTGGCAAGACTAAAAAAGGCAGAGTTAGGAATGAGTATATTCAAGAATGGGTAAGAGTAGAGCCGATAGAAGATAAGTTGAGGGAGAATAGATTGAGATGGTTTGGTCATATACAATGGAGACTAAAGAGACAATAGTGAACTGATGCGATACAGTGATGATAGATAGAAGTATTAAGGGAATGGACAGACCTAGATTGACGTGGGCTAGTGTAGTAAATAGAGATGTGAATCTCTTTAATTTGACTAACGATATGGCCTTAGATAAAGTCGAATAGAGAAGAAGGATTTATGTAGTCGAACCCATTTTATGAGACTTAAGGCTTGGTTTAGTTTGGTTTGAGATTTCAATTCTATTGCAAACGTTAATTTCCCTTTACTCGACAATAAGGAAACGCTAGAAACAATAGAGGAATATTCTGTGTTCTCTATGATTCCGTTTGTTTCGACGTAAAATATTTTACACCAAAAAGTATTTTTCATGTAAATTAATTTTGTACGAAAAATATTTCTGTTTTTATTTTCTAGTGTTTGGTTGATACTTGAAACACATTTTCTATTGTCGGGAAGCAGAATTCCGGTTCAATAAAATGTCCATTATGACTTTTTATCAAACAATTAGTGAGCTAGGATACCTATTTGAAAAGGTCAATCATGTTGCAAGGGATCATGACTGGGAGTGAACTTCACAAAAATTGACTTGTGAAATTTTTACTAGTGATTTGTTTTTGGGATTATGATGAAAAATATTTTTCTTAAAAAAAGTTTTACTTGCTTTTTGTTCAACCAAACAATGGAAAATGCATAAAATATTTTTCAAGTAAACATTTCAGATCGAAACAAATGGACCCTACATTTCTCTTTTTATTTTTTATTGGCCAATGGAATCTGTTGGGAAAAGGTAATTTTGTAATGTTCTCCTCAGGAGTTGGGGTAGGTAACATGGTTTTGGAAGCGTGCTTCTTTCACAATAACATAGCCAGAGGTTGGCACATGTATTTCTATCTTCAGTTGATGGAGCTTCTATCAGTTGATTGTCCTTATGAAGAAAAATAATTATTATACCATGCATATTTGAGAAATTTAAGGACACGGTTGATGCTCTAAAAAAGATACAATATACTATGTCCTTGGGTCTCGAGAGTATTACTATCTAGTCCAAAATATGGAGAGAGGGCTTTTTTCGTTTGTTTGTAGATCTGTATTCATGAGTAGCACCCCTTTGGAAACTTCAGAGAAAAATAAAGGCACCAGTCTCGCATATTGTGTGCCAATAGTAAAGTTACCTTGATCATCTAAAAGTTATTTTAACTTTATCCAAGTAGGTAAAAAAAACTTCATCGTATCATGTGACTGGGGCAAGTATCCCATGCTAGAGCAGTGGATCTGATGTTTCATGTATTTTTGGTATTTTAGTATTTTGGTCCTCTATAACTTTTGAGGTTTTCTTTTGCAGAGATTGTCTCCAGATATGCCCCTCCAACTTGCTTCAGATACAATTTTAAGAATGTTGAGAGCTCGATTGCATCATCATCGTCAAGGACTAGTATGTTTTTTAGTCAATGTTGTTTTCTTTCCAGTATTTTAATACTCTGATAATCTTTTTAGCTAGTATCTGCATGCTTCCCTCTGCAGTTTGTTTCATTTTTATGTATGTCACAATTGCATTAGTTGAGCCTTCTTATGATTCAAATCCTATTAATTGACTTCATGCAAGCACTTGGAGCTGTTACTTTTCTTGCTTTGTCTTTTGCTGCATCTGTATATATCCTTCAGTTATTGCAGCATGACAAACTTATTCATCTGTCATTTCAGCCTTCTCCTTTTTGTAGTGCCTTTTGGCTCATGCTAAGTCCAACCTTAGCAGCTTCAGATGTTGCATATAAATATGTGAGGGTATATACATAATTGATGATTTTTTTCAATAAATATATGTTTTACTAAAAAAATAGAAGCATTTTATTTCTACGTTTTACTAAGTTCTTTTATTATACCCCAAAGAAAATAATAATGCAAACAGAATTCTATATGGGATATAATTTCTGGTAATTTATAAGTGAATGGGCTTATATAAGAAATACTAAAAGAATAATATATATGTTGTGTGAAAATAACTAGTTACAAGCACCTGATGGTCTAGTAGATGTATGTTTTATTTCAACTTCACCCGATTTATTGATTCATAATGAGAGGAGGTTAGAAGAGGGTTTTTCTGAACACCATTCTCTTGAAATAACAACAATCAGACAACTCTATCCAACTCATTTCTTTCTCCTCATCCTCCTCTACTCCTTTTATTTCACATGACTATTCAGATTGAAACTTGGACACACACAAGTCAAAATAGTATGGGCAAGGATGTTGGATGACCATAAAAATTGTTGAACTTTTCAAATGTGTGAAGATTGGGGTTAGGATGACTCCACTATCTTGAAATCTCAATGTATGGATTATGAATAATAATTTTGTGAATTAAAATGGTGTGCTTGTGCCATAGAAGCATAATGCGGAGTTTTTATGCATAGTTTTATGGTAAACTTGAATTACTAAACATGGTTTGCAAATTTGCTACGTTAATTTTCAACTAGTATCCCATATCCTTACCCAAGGGTCAAGTGTTCTACATGAGTATTTTATACATTTAGTTGTGTTCATCTAACATAGGTTTCTGTACATTTATCTTTTAAGCTGCACCTTTTTTTTTTTAAATAAAAAATCCTTCTAATACATCTCAAATCATATTAATCCTTGGCACATCTTGACATTCTTTTATCACTCTTTGTTTGGTAAGCCATCATTACTCATAGACATCACTTGTAAAGGGTTCCCTGCATCTATGGTTTATCTTGCTTTTCAATTTTAGTTATTTCTAACGTTCTAATCTTTAGGGGTTGTTTGATAACCAATTTAATACTTCAAACTGAATGTATTCATTAAAATAAATTAAGTGTGTTTTGTTAACAACAATTCATATTGCTTAAAAATATGCTAAATTTGTAAGTGATATACTTTTTCCTTAATGGTGAATTATGAATTTCCAACCGTTTAGTTGATACCACCATTGAGGTGTACTGCTGCTGCCACTCCACTATCACCAACATTGCCACCACCCCACGATCATTGTCACTGCTATCCCACCACCACACAATTATCACTGCCACCGTCACTACCAGTGTTATTAAAGGTGCACATAGACATGTACCTAACCCATGTCCCATCTAGGCCCAAGGTTTGCGCCTTGCAGTGTTCCAAGCCAGGTGACTTCTGTTAGTCGCGCTTAAGGCGTGTGACTGGGCCAAGGCGCAGTAAAGCCCAAGTCCTGCGCCTTGAAAGCTTTTATTTTTTATTTTTTTAATTGTTGCTTTGATTGGTTTTGCTTGAAATCTTACCGTTGATTTAATATGGTGTAGCTACAGAAGATTTCTACTCTTAAGTACACTTGCCAATACATTGAGCGTTCAGCCCCAAATCAACGATAGAAGAAAATTTAGCCATTATTCAGTCTCTGAAGAACTCTTTGCTGCTGCCTACCTTCGTTATCTAATCCAACGGCTCCAAAAATTCTTCTTCATGTTGCTGTCTTCTTGTCTTATGTTTCTCTATCGTTCTCTTCTCTTCTTCTTCTCTACATTATTGTCTTCTCTACTTCTCTTCTCTACGTTGCTATCTTCTTCGTCACATGGCTGTGATCTTCTGCTCCCATCTTCTTATGCTTATTCTCTTGTCTCCTTCTCTTTCTCATCCTTCTTTGGACTGATCAGTTTTTTTCCCCCCTCTTCTTGTTCTTCTTCTCCCCTCTTCTTATTCATGTTTTATGTTAAACTTTGAAATAATATTCATTTGTCTATGTTAAAATAGTATTGTTTGTTAGTATTTATATTTTTAAATGTTTAATATTTCATTTTGCTTATGTTGGATCCTGAATTATTTGTTTATATTAAATTATATATATATATATTTTACGTAAAAGGTGTGCGGCACTTTGGTAAAGCCTGCGCCTTGCCTTGCGCCTAGGCCCCAAGAGACCTTGGCACCTCAGTGCGCCTATCGCCTTTAATAACACTGATCACAACCAAAATCATCGCCACCACCATCACTCCCACCCTACCACTACTACCACCATTGTTCAAAAATCAGTTAGTTCGTACTGTATCTGCCGGTTGAACTGGGTTTTGGCTTAGCCGGTTATACACCTACATTTACAAGTTTGGTAAAAAATTACGGTCGAACCAGCTGGTTCAAAGTACATATCAGGCCGAACTGATTATTGTCCTGGTTTTTCATCATATCAGACTGGTTCACTTGCTGTATAAACAGAGTGTTTCTGGGTTGGTTCTGCGATTCTTGTAAACTTATTTTTTTTGTTGTTGTTGTGATTCCTCTCTATTTCAACTGCTATTCTTCCATTATCTCTTCGATTCGGCTTGATTTACATCCTCCTCACACATATGTACACTTTTTGTTCTTGATTTGCATCATTCAAAGCTGAATCTGAAATAAACATGTTTGGATCTGTAGAAGTTTCGACAGGTTGGGGAATATTTTTGCATTGATGTCAACATCAAGATCACAGATGGCCTGTCCTTCAATTAGGTGTATGGTTTTTGAGACATCACCCTTGCTAAAGTTGGTTTTGGCGAGGTGAGGATATGAGAGAAGAGTTAGGATGAGAGAGATTGGTGTTGTCCGCTGTGTTTGCCCACAATATATATATACCTGAAGATTTGGTTGTGCTCGGCTGTGATGAGGTGCATGTTTTCCACCTGTTATGTTTGCCACGTGTAGTGTTGTAAATCTGCATTCAGTTCTTGGTTTTTTTATGAACATAAGATTTCGTGTCTGAGAAGCCTCCAAGTGTCTTCATCTGGCCCCTCCAATCTTCTCATTAGCTGGATCCCAATTCCTTTTGAATTTCAAATTCTTTCTTCCCAAAAGCTCCACCAACCCACCCCTAATGTCCTCTCTCACATCCTGGGTTGTGTACAGTAATGCAACAGACCACCACTTGGTGGCAACTGCAGAAACACCAGTCGTCTCAAACAAGCGCCCCAATCCCAAAACAACCAAATGATTTTCTTGGCCATTGTTGCAACTTTTCTAGACATGAACGTGGTAGCTTCTCCTTTGTCCTGATGTACTATTAGTCTATTAGATAGTCCAGCCACATCTGTAGACTTGATGTGCATTACTTTTTACAAATTGTGCTGTTGTAAGGTTTGTTTTAACTTTATCTTAATTTCTTTTACAGATAGTGCATAGCCTATCTCGTGCTATTGACATTGATGCGAGTTTGGGAAGGCTGGAGGAAAGATCACGACATGTGCAGATAAACGATGAGAGCCTGTGTGATTCTTGTCATGCCCGCCTCGGCACCAAGCTATTTGCAATGTACCCAGATGATACCATTGTTTGTTACAAGGTTGGTGATATTGACATCTCATTTATTGCTTGTTTGGAACTCCATAATGGTAGCTTCCATTTCGGCTGATAGACAGCCTCTGTGAATCAACCAAAATGGCTGCGGAAACAACAATACAATACTGGTAATTAGTGTTTAAACAGAATATTATTATGATGCTGTGGAAGAAGTTTCCCTACCTTACGCCCCATTTGTTTGAGCGGATAATATTTTTTTGCATTTTTCTAGCATTTGTTTCAACGGAAAATGAAAGTCAATGAAAACAAGCGTATTTGGACAGAAAATGTTTTTTTCCTTTGAAAAGTAAAAAAACATTTTCTAGACTGAAGTCTTACTAATGCTGTCACACTACGACTGCCACCCCACCCCACCCCACCATGCCCCATTTGTTTGAGCGAATAATATTTTTTCGCATTTTTCTAGCATTTGTTTCGACGGAAAATGAAAGTCAATGAAAACAAGCGGAACAGAAAATGTTTTTTTCCTATGAAAAGTAAGAAAACATTTTCTAGACTGAAGTCTTACTAATGCTGTCACACTACGACTGCCACCCCACCCCACCCCACCATTACTAATGCAACCATTAGTACATTAGTTTTAAGGATACAATCTAACATATTCTGCTGGAACAAAATCACTATCAACTTGTCCTTTACAGACATTTCTTTTTCCTTGCATCTTTTCCCATCTGAAATTGCAATTTTCTACCAGAAATGGAATTATTGCCCTGTAACATCTCCATGTGTTCTCACCATTTTCTCCAGGAAAAATATATATACATATATATTAAAGGAGTATTTTCATTTAATTGATCAAAATAAAATACTGCTAGGGTAGGAAGTGATTTTACTGAAACCTACCTCTTGCTGAGTGCAGTGTTTCCGCCGTCAGGGTGAGTCCAAATCCATCACAGATCGGGACTTCAAGCGAGATCCCATGTTTAAAGCTGGTTGGCTGGTGACCCGATGACCTTGCAGAAAGATTTATTTTGGGCCTGCAACCTGCCTACGTAGTGGGTGATGATCTATAGCTTTAGCTTACACTAAGATTTGAGCAATTTCATCTCTCTTTTATTGGCTCAGGGGAGTTAAGATTGCGTCTCTTGGGCGAGATCTAGTAGCCATGGAGATCAATCGTTCATCATATCCGATGAAGTTTTGTTTGTTTGTCAGCTGGTTGAGACGGTGGAGTTCAGGAGGAAGAACCTTGTGTAGCCGACCTTTTGGATGATGAGTTGGGGAATGAGATCAAAATCTGTTATATATGCCGTCACTTTGTTGTACATAACTGATTGCTGATACTAACAGTTTCTCTTGGAAAACAGAAAAAATGATAAAATGAATTTGATTGTTTGCTGCATGAGGTTTTTTCGTTTTTTGTATTTTATGCTAATTTGATATGCTTTGTAATAATTTTTATGACTTATCTGATCATATTCTGGAAATGCAACGAGAAGGGTTTTTTGTTGGGTTAATTACATTTTTAGTCCATAAAGTATAAGTTGTGTTACTTTGTTTTCCAATGTTTAACGGGCTTTCAGCTTAAAAGTCTAATTTTGAATTTTCTATGTCCAAACCACAAAAATATGAAGTACCATTATCCAATCTATCTCTACAATTTACGAGTTTCTTTACTCTCCATTGCTATCTCAATCTAGGGTTTCATACGCCTCCTCTCTTCCCTCTCTCTCTCTCTTTCTCATTTGTCTCTCCTCCATCGTCCTCCACATTTGCTGTGTTGATGGTGTTGCTGTTGTTGTTCTGGTGGGAACAATGCCAGCCGCCAGATCTAGATCCGTCACCTCGTCCTTCCTGATTTCGTGTCATACACCGACAATGCAGAAGCCTTGACAAAGATGTGCAAGTGTGTGTGGCGTTAGTTAACTCTCTTTACTAGTCCACCAATAATGCTCAAAAGGTTTGCAAAGACAAGCAAATACAATATTAGTTAAGTTGATGAGCCACAAGATTGGAGACAAGTCACAAAATAGCAATCAACAAGCTAAAATTAAAGCAAGTAACAATTGAAAAGTTTTGCACAATTTAAAGACGAAATGAACTTTTGATTGATCAAAAGAAAGGCATTACAATAGTTGAACAATGCATTAAAAACACTAAAAAACTTGTCTTACCATAAGCTAAGTTGGAGTACTTTAAATGCGCAAGTGGTCTGGTTCAACACTTGGGTACCTCCTCTTTAATATAGCTTGTTAAGCCATTTCTTAGTTGGTAAGATGAAACATTCACTATGTTTGAGAAGTTATAATGAATTTTTAAAAATTCTCCAAAAAGAAAAAAATTACAATATTTGGACCTAAAACATCTTTAATACTAAGGTATTTACATAAAAATTTACAAGGCAAAAAGATTACATTTAACCCTTCAAAAGTTGGTTTAAAGTTGTTGCTGGGCAGACAAGTCTGTGGCATGTTGTGGCTGGGCTGCTTCATGGCATGCCTTGGGCCTTGGCTTGCACTTGCACCAACTTCTTGGGAATGTTTTTGGCTCTCCAAATGGCACAAATGAGTGTAGCATTAAGGTGTTGACCCTTGGATGAGCGCACCTTGACAGTCTCTCCCACTTGAACAGTTGACGCCTTCGACGACTTTACCCAATAAGCAGTAATCTCGTCTTGAAAAGCCGACAAGTCCGCCTCCCGTTCCTAACTGATTTCTGCATCTCCAAAGCCTCTCTATTTCACCAAGTATTGCCTTTGTTTCTTCTTGGAAACCATTTTCACTCGATCGGCCAAAATAGATTCAACAGACTTTTTTCCTGCTTTGGCTGTAATGGTTTGGCGTTTCAGCTCATTTCGGGTTGGATTTTCCTTGTCTGGATAGTAAGGCCTCAAATAACTCATATGGAAAACCAGGTGCACTTTCAGCCAAGACGGAGCATCTATCTTGTAAGAACACTTGCCAATTCTCTTCAGAATGGTTACTGACCCCTTATACTTGCGCACTAGTCTTCTGTCTCTTCCCCTCATGAACTTGTGTTGCTCGGGGTTGAGTTTGACAAAAACTTGATCTCCAACTCTAAACTCAAGTGGTTATTAGCTCATTTCTTCATTTTACTTGCCGCTTTTTCAAGATAGGCACGAGTAATGTCATGGTTTCTCTTCCATTCCTTAGCAAATTGGTAAGCCTTGGGTGACTTTCCTTCATAAGGTCCATCAACTATGTGGGGCAACAGTGGCTGTTGTCCATTCACTATCTCAAAAGCACTCTTGCTCGTAGAGCTACTCTTTTGAGAGTTTAAGCATAATTGTGCTATATTAAGAAATTGCACCCAATTTCGTTGATTAGCATTGACAAAGTGGCACAAATACTCCTCGAGCATACAGTTGAAGTGTTCAGTTTGCCTATCCGTCTCCGGATAGTAACTTGATGAAGTATTAAGTTGTGACCCAAGAAGCTTGAAAAACTCCGTCCAAAAGTTGCCAACGAAATGCGAATCCCAATCATTAACAATACTTTTAGGCACACCCCAATATTTAACAATGTGTTTGAAGAAGAGTTGGGCAATCTCCTCCGCTAAAACATACTTTGGGGCAGTTACAAAGGTGGCATACTTAGAGAATTGGTCCACAATAGTCAAGATAGTCCCGATGTCTCCCACTTTAGGCAGTCCAGTGATGAAGTCAAGTGATACACTTTCCCACGGATGTTTAGTCACAGGCAAAGGTTCAAGCAAGCCTGCTTTCTTTTTATGCTCAACCTTGTCTTGCTAAGTAAGACAAGTGCGAACATATTATTCCACATCATCACGCATTTCGGGCCAATAATATCCTTGTTTCACCAAGACCAATGTTCGCACCCAACTCAGATGTCTTGCCTAAAGTGTATCATGGCACTCCCTAAGAAGTGTCTTTCTCAAATCACCATCCCTGGGTACAAGGATGCAGTTGCCTGTTGTCATTAGAAGTCCATCTTGCACCCAAAATTGGCAAATCTTGCCCATTTTGACAAGGTTCATAAGATTCTCTGCCATAGCATCTTTGTCTAGTTGAGCCTTGATTTTCTCTTTGATGCTGGTTGAAATGGAAGTAAGTGAACATACATGATGGCACACGGCAAGCTCTGCCTTCCTACTTAGCGCATCAGCAACATGGTTGGTGGCATCAGCCTTGTATTCTAAGGCAAAATCAAACTTTGTCAACTTCTCTTGCCACCGTGCTTGTCGTGCACTTAGCTTGGGTTGTGTTAAGAAATGGCTAACCGCCGTGTTATCAGTCTTTACAACAAATTGTGAGCCTAAGATGTAGTGCCTCCAAGTCCTCAGACAATACACTAGTGCAAGCAACTCTTTCTCATGAGCTAGATATCTCCGTTCGGCATCATTGAGCTTCCTACTCTCATAGACAATTGGGTGCCCGTACTGCAAAAGAACACCACCTAAAGCAAAATCAGATGCATCAGTTTGTATCTCAAAAGCTTGACCTAAGTCAGGTAGAGCAAGAACATGGTCTCTTGACATAGCTTCTTTTAAGGCATGAAAGGCTTGTTGCCATTCCTTTGCCCAAACATATGGCTTGTCCTTCTTTAGCAACTCTGTCAATGGGAAAGCTTGTCTTGAGTAGTCTTTAATAAACTTGCAATAATAATTAGCTAACCCAAGGAATGACCACAACTCCAGGACATTAGTGGATGGCTGCCACTCTTGAATAGCCTTGACCTTCTCTTGGTCCATTTTGATGCATCCATGCTCAACAATGTGCCCTTGGAACTTAATCCTCTCTTGGGAAAAAGAACACTTCTTTAGCTTGACATAAAGCTTGTGCTCCCTCAACTTGGTAAGGGCCTTCTGAAGATGCTCCACGTGCTTTTCTAAAGTGGAGCTATAAATTATAATGTCATCTAAATATACTACAACGAATTGATCCAAATAGTCTTGAAAAACTTCATTCATCATGGTGCAGAATATTGTTGGGGCATTGGTCAAGCCTAATGGCATGACAAGAAACTCATAAGAGTTATAACGAGTAACACAAGTAGTTTTAGGCTCGTCTCCCTCGGCAATTCTTACTTGATAGTACCCCGATCGAAGATCTAGCTTTGTGAAATACCTCGCTTTGCTCAATTAATCAAATGAATCTGCAATGAGAGGAAGGAATACTTGTTCTTGATGGTTAGCTTGTTGAGTGCCCGATAATCCACACATAAGCAAAGACTTCCATCACGCTTCTTTTGGAATAAGACAGGTGCACCGAATGGGGTCTTAGATGGCCTAATGAAGCTTGCTTCCAACAACTCTATAAGCTGCTTCCTTAACTCATTCAATTCAGGAATAGCCATTCTATGTGGTGCACAAGCTGGTGGCTTTGCCCTTGGCACCAACTCGATAGCATGATCACACCTCGGCGTGGAGGCAACTCCTTAGGCAACTGTTCAAGCATAACATCTGCAAATTTCCTTAAGACCTTCTTGATTGTGGCTGGGACAAGAGTAGATTCAAGAGCTTCATTCAACTTCAATGTGGCAACCCAAGTTTGCTCACCATGCCTAACACTCCTCTTAAGTTGCATAGCTTAGACAAACCAATCACTATTGTTGGTTGCTATAGCAAGAATGAGACATGGCTTATCTCCCATGACACACATACTATTAGAATAAGGCATGACTGTCGTCTTTGTGCTTCTCAAGAAATCCAACCCAATGATGGCTTGGAAGTTATCCATGGGTACTGTGGTGAAATCTACTCTTCCTTCCCAAGTGCAAATGAACAGATTTTGCGACCCCATAGATAGACTGTGCTGCCGAGTTAACCGCCTTGATGCGGTTGCCATCCTTCTCTAAATATAGCCCAAGTCTTTCAACTTCGGTCCCCACAACAAAATTGTGGGTGGCCCCTGTGTCAATCAAAGAACGGAGGAGCTTCCAATTGAGTTTTACATCCGAACTGGCACTGGAACCGAAAAGGAAAGTAGAACACGCAGTGTGTCAGGCCAATCAACTGTATCCCGGTCTGTTAGAACGTGTTGTAACTCATCGCTGGTAGATTGAGCCAAGGGCACCGCCAAGCAATGCGGTCTACGGACAAACTGCACATCCAGTCGAACCACTATCCCTCATCAAGGGCATCGACTAGACGTCGCCGGAAGTAGTAGCCGCGAGCTGAGTATGCTGGGCAAGAGTCCACAACCTGCAATTTGTCCATCAACCATACCTGGGGAGGGATTGAAAAATGAGAGATTAAAGAATAAAGAGATGTACGATGAAAGAAAAGTGAGAAAAGGGTTTTGAGAGAAAAATCGAGCCTGAAGGCCAAGTGATGTGAGCAATATATATGTGAGGAAGGGTGGGAATATTACCTGCAGCAGTAGTGGACTCCCCGCAAATCTGGTTGTTTCCCGGCGATGGAAAGCATCCAAGCCCATCAATGTCTCGGCCAATGTCATGGCAATGCAACTCTTGCCCTCTTTCAAGCCTTGGGCAACTTCGATCAGACGAATACTAGACCCACTGAAGCCTAGGGC